GCTGTGGCCGGCGCCCGGCCGGGCGGCCGGGGCCCGCGCCACCCCCGCCGGCCCTGGACCGGGCACCCGCGCCAGGGATGGAGGAGCCATTTGGCACAACCCCGGCAGCGCGCCCAGCGCTGGGCTCGGGCTCGGCCCAGCCTGTAAGGAGCCGGAGGGGCAGAGTCCCAGTGTGTGTCCCAGCAATAAGGGGGGAGAATGAGGATGGTGAAGGGCACTGTAGCAAGAGACCGTGAGTTTAATTAACAAAATTTCTGTATGGGGCACTATATTTTTAAAAGTCTTTCTATGCTGTACATTTCTCCTGAAGCTGAAATAATGTACTGTTGGTAGGGGTTTTTGTATAGTGTACAGAAATTGGCAGAATATTTTCTTGCTGCATTCAGTGATTTATTAACCGAAGTAAAATAGACAAATATAAAGTGTTAGCAAAAGTTGAAAGAAAAAAAAAATACAAAACAGTTTGTGCCTTTTTTAGTTTATTTTTCTGTTGCTATATAATCACTGCACTAAAACCTTTCCAGAGGGAAAAAAAAAAACCAAAACTAGTCTCTTAATAAGGGAGGAATACGTAAAGCCTAAATTGAGTGTTAATTTTTTTATTGGGATATTTAATTAAAAGAATGTTGCTGGTTTTATTTGATACCTGTGCCTTTGTAATACAACTCCACATCCTGTCAGAAAAGCCAAATCTGGAATAAATCCCACCAGAGCCCACAGACGCAGAAGTACCATCAGGTTACCAGTATTTTCTTCAAAAACGTGTAAACCTTAACTGATGATATTACAGTATCTGATCGTAATACCTGTTGAGTTGCCTGGCAAAGAGGTGCTTTGGAAAGGTGCAGCTTTTGGTGTGCTGTCTGCGTTCCTCCCTGGGCATTCCGGCTGCCGGAGATGCACCGATAAGGATTGAGTTGTTGCCACTTGGCCAGTAGCTGCCGAGCAAATTTCTTCCCTTAATGCTTCTGCCAGTTGCTTTGTGACCAGGCTCTTTGGAAGAAATCCAGCTGGTTGCTCCCAGCTCTCCAGCCGGGACAGCTCGTTTCTGAAGGAAAGGGCTGGCTGCCAAATAGGCTGGGTTTTGCTTTCCTTGGAAGATGGAGAGGGCTGGTGGGTGAAACACTGCAGATCCCAGCCCTGGCTTTTATTGGGAAGCCCACTTGGCTGCCAGAGCTGCATCCCTGGTGGCAGCAGCGGGATGGGGGTACAGGACCTCCGGCGTTGCTGCTGCTTTCCCACCCAGAGCTGCTCTGAATAGGATTAGACAAGGCTGGGCTTAAAAGTGTCAAGTGATACTGTTGTTTCATCTGCATTCATGGGAAGTTTCCCTAAATACGATAGCTTGGGCTAAGCTCTGGAGCCAGAAAGCCTCTTCCCGCTGCTGTGTGGCCCCTGGGCTCTGGACCATGCTGGGCTCACCCGCTGCCCTCCCCAGGGTCCAGCCTGCCTTGCCCTCGCCACCCAGGCCAGCGTGCTGGTAGAGCACGGTGCAGTTCACGGGGTGACGTATTGAGGCTGAACTGCCTTTGGTGGATCCATCCATCCACGGTGCTTCTTTCAGGGTGCACTGGTTTAAACAGCGTTGCATGGAAAAGTAGGATCCTAACAGCTCATCACTCGTGCCCCCTGTGCTGGTTTTGCACCCCCCCTTGCGGAGCTTCTTGCTTCTCCTGCACCAGATAGCTGTGGTCGGCACAGCCCTGCATTGGGACCGTCACCATCCCCCTTTCTCCGGGCTTGAGCGTCACCTCCTGACTGCTTCCATCCCAGTTCAGCATCTGAGTAGTGCAGAGCAGCACAAGATGGTTGTGGGTCTGGTCCTGAGCAGAAGAACTTGTGGTCTGGACCTACTGCCGTCGAAAGCCTATTGCCAGTTGTCAAGTCTAGTTCCACCAGAGAGTCCCATCAGTATGAGATGGCAGGGGATGCTCCTAATTTATTTTGGTGGTTTCTGCTTCCAAGGACACTTCTAGCTGGAGCACGGGGAAGAGTGGAGCATCTCTTGGGTCTTAGCTAGTAAACACGATGGCTAGGAGGATTGCTTCAAATTTAGGTGGAGGATGTGTTGGAGATGTGAAGGAGCTTCCCCCAGCTGTGCCAGGTGTCTGCTTTTACTGTGCTGTGCAGGTGGGTTGTCGCAGGCCGCTGCCCTTGCGCGGTGTGCCGTGCGGTGGCACCGAGGATGCGGTTTCCTCGCCAGGCAGCTCTCTCCTTAGCATCGTGGCTTTTTCTGCTAATCCCTGCTCGAGTGTCCTCTGCTCGGAGGGGACTGGGGCAGAGCCCTTGCTCACTGGGGAAGGCACCTGACCAGGTCGGGGTGTGGTGTCCATGTAGAGGTCTCTAAAAAAGTTAAAAAAGAAGAAAAAAAAGAAGAAAAAAAACAAAAGGGGAAACTTCGCATTGCTGTGGCTGAGGTCCACAGCCTCGGGGCTGCCCCAGCCCTCCCCTGAGCAAAGTGGCATCTCAAGCACACATAGTATTTGGCAATAAGCTCTGTGGGAAGCTTGGCCCCTGAATGGTCCCAGGCCAATAATGCTGAGCAATCAAAGCAACAAGGAAAGTGGTTTCTAATCTTACTCGAAACCCTTGAACTGGTATTTGCTGTAAAATCCCGCCGTGTTTTCCCTCTGTGAAGCAGACTGCACCTGCAAGATGCTTAGAGATAGCAGCCATAATTCATCTCTGCTGGGAGATGCCCTTTGCAGCGCTTCTTGCCGCAGAAATGTTTGGGGCACTGCCATCAGCTGAAAGCTGTTCTTTTCCCCTACCTTGCTGTTCCCGTGCGGTATGTGGGACGGTGTTGCTGAGCCAGCCTTTGCCTCTCCCCAGCGCACTGCAGGCTGCCCCCACACACGAGACTGAGGGGCAGGAGCTGGGCTCTTGCCTGCACGGTCCATGCACTCCTGTCTCTGCGGCACGTACGGCTCAGGGAGCAGCCGGGGAGGTCGGGGCTGCTGCAGGGCACTGCCTTCTCAGGGAGGAGAGATGCACGGCCGTGGGGTACCCTGGCTGCAGGGCTTTTTGGGCTGGCCATCATGGAAGGAGATAGCTGGCAGCATAGTCAACCCTGTCAGGGAGAAGCAGGCTTGGTTTAAAAGATGTTTGTTGGAAGCAAGATGAGTTTAACGGTATCATGAGGCGACTGTAAGGAT